TATATTTACAGGATCTACAAATATGTTCAATATTTACAAGGTTAACAAAAGTGTTTTTATTAAAAAGAACTGCTAAAATATTTAAATGTACAGAATTAACATAAGTGTATATTTATAGGATCAACAAAAAAAATCATTTAAAGGATTAATAAAAATGTGTATAATTATTGGATCAGCAAAATATTCATATTTAAAGGAATTAATAAAAAATGTTTATATTTATAGGATCAACAAAAATATGCATGTTTACAAATGTTTATATTAACAGGACCTACAACTGTGTTAACATTTATAGAATTAACAAAAATGCTTATACTTATAGAAAATACACTGAAGTGACAAAAGTCATGGGATACCTCTTAATATCGTGTCGGCCCTCCTTTCGCCCGGCGAAGTGCAGCAACTCGACGTGGCATGGACTCAACAAGTCGTTGGAAGTCTTCTGCAGGAATAGTGAGCCATTTGTCTCGATAGACGTCCATAATTATAATGGATCATTATCAAAAAAGCGTTGATGGTGCAAAATTTTGGGCTTTACGAACAGACCTCTCGATGATGTCCCATAAATGCTCGATGGGATTCATGTCGGGCGATCTAGGTGGCCAGATCATTCGTTGGAATTGTCCAGAATGTTCTTCAAACCAATCGCGAACAGTTGTGGCCCGGTGACATGGCGCATTGTCATTCCATGAAAAATCTCATCGTTGTTTGGGTACATGAAGTCCATGAATGGCTGCAAGTGATCTCCAAGTAGCTGAACATAAGCATTTCCAGTCAATGTGGGCGTTCCAGTCACACCAGAGGACCAAGTCCATGCCATGAAAAAAACAGCCCACACCATTACGGAGCCACCACCAGCTTGAACAGTGCCTTGCTGACAGTTTGGGTCCAACCGATTTTCCATTCATCTAGGGACCAACCGATATGCTCACGTGCCCACGAGAGTCTCTGCAAGCGATGTCGTTCTGTCAGTAAAGGCACTCGAGTCGGTCTTCTGCTGGAATAGCCCAAGAAAGCCAAATTTCTCCGCACAGTTTTAACAGACAAGTCCCTTGTACGTCCCACATTGATTTATGCGGTTATTTGACGCAGCTGTAGTTGTGACATAATTGTACATGCGTTAGAATTTACGATATATATTTGCAGACGTCGCCGGTCTCGGTCGTTATTTGCAGGCGGTCGACCACTGCGCTGTCCATGGTGGGATGTTATGCCTGAAATTTCATATTCTCGGCACATTTCTTGACACAGTGGATCTAGGAATGTTGAATTCCCTAACGATTTCCGAAATGGCATGACCCATGCGTCTAGCTCCAAAAACATTTCGCGTTCAAAATAAAATTCCCGTCGTGCGGTCATTATCACGTCAAAATCTTCACATTGAATAATTTGAAAAAATGAATTTATAGGATTAACGAAAGCACTGCGCCTTTATATATTCTACAGGATACAACTGCCATGTGAAAATTTGCATATTGCTATCCCATGACTTTTGTCACTTCAGTGTATATTAAATACAAAAAAAAAAAAAAAAAATACAAAAATACAAAAAATTACAAAAATATTTATATTTACATGATTAACAAAAACATTTTTTATTTATAGGATCAACAAAAATAATTAAATTTGCAATATTAATAAAAATGTTTATATTCACAGGATCTACAAAACATTTTTTGTTTAAAGGTAGCTTATTCTAGATATTTGAATACCTTCAGATAATTAACAATAGCCAAAAACTGCAATTATCATGAAAAGTTTCTTCCAATGCCATTCTCATCATCATCATAGATGCAACAACCCCATTGTGGGCCAAGGCCTGATGCCTACTGGCAGATTTCGAGACAGTAGATGGCTTCTTTTTACAGGATAGGGTTGTCAGCCCTATGCTCGACAGTCATTTTAGACCGGAAACTACAGTGGAACGTGGATTCCGAACCACTACAAACAACCATAGCACTGCAAGGACTCGAACCCGAAACCTGTTGCACTGAGCGTTGGTCAGTTGGTCACGAGTCATATTACCTTGTGTTTAATTCATGTGTTTTTCTATTTGGTATTGGATTTTCCATCGGTTAATTAATTTAAAAAAATGAAATGAAAAATGAAATGTTAAAAAAAATGAAATGAAATATATCCTTTTAAAAAAACAAGGAATTTGTCCACAATATGTATTATCTGATTTCCTAAAATATACTCATTGATTTTCTGCTGAATCCAGACACCAATTATGATGAAACGGAATTCAAATGAAAACTGGAAAAGTAGACCAAATACCAAAAGGTGACATAAAGGTCAGAAATTGGGAGTATCCCGTTTAAAACGGGAAATTTGGCAAAATGGCATCTAATCCCTCTCATTTGGGTATTCATGCTATCGCCCGAAAGGAAAAGTCGACTCAGAAACCTTTCTTTCACACGTACTATGAAATCACTTCAGAAATGATTTATGTTGAAAAATTTAATATTCAGTCCTTAATATTCACATGTTATTGTGATCTAAAATAAACAACCTTATAGGTTATAATAATATAAGGTTGTTTATAAGGTTGTTCTATAAGGTTGTTTATTTTGTTGTTGTTGTTTCTTATCCCACTTGGCTGGCCAAGCCCACGAGCCCATACGTGCTCATGATTGAAGGGGAAGGAAGCAGCTTCTGTTGTGATGGAGCACCCGTAGGTAGAAGTCTGACTTTGGCTCCGTGACGCTCTTACAGTCATAAGAGACCGGGACCTACGGCTTAAAGTGGATTTGTGTGGATTTTAGATCACAATAACATGATTTATTAATGGTGTCTTTTAGTTGGTAAGAGGATAACTTGATAATATGTAGTTTAAGTGATTGAATGAATAGTAAATATTTCAATTTTCAATATGTATATATATATATATATACTAGCAGAATCCGCATACTTTGTCCTACCAGAAAAAAATGGCAAAATGCATTGTAGAAAATTACCGAATTAGAATTTGATATACTACGAATGTATTCTTCATGTTCGAATATACGTGCATACTCATTTTCATGGATATCGTTTGAACAGTATACAAGATTAAATGTTGCAGCACCCTCTGGTGCAATAAAGTGGATAGCGCCTGGTAGATAACCTATTAAGTGGACCCTTATAACCTGAAAACCTTATAACCTATAAAGTGGATAACCTATTTTCCATACTCGAATACATATTATTACCAATTTTCATAGCGATGGGTTGAAATGTATAGAAGTTGATATACTGCAGCACCCTCTGGTGGCGACTTAAAACAAAGGGGATATCTTAAGAACATTCTCCATGTTTTGTCAAACACGCACAAAAAATTTCATCAAAATCGGTCAAGTCATTTAGGATGAGTTCAGTGACACATGCACGTACCGATTGCAACGCTACCTACCGGGTCCAGTTGTGAATCTAAACCATCTAGAAACTCATTCAAAGATTTATAAGCCTAAAAACATACTCCATGTTTTGTCAAAGGCACACACAAAATTTCATCAAAATCGGTCAAGTCGTTTAGGAGGGAGTTCAGTGGCAAACACATGTACAGAAAAATCATATATATATAAAGATATATACATATATATACACAGTCCAGTCACATTAATGTGACCACCTGTCAAAAGTGTGCTGTCAATATTTGATATATATATAAAAAACATTGGATTATTCAGGAGAAAATTCATTATATTCTCAAGTTAAACTGTCATGTGTCAACAAGAATTTGCATTGACGCATTCTAGATATTTTTCCTACTTTCGATGTCACATTAATGTGACTGGACTGTGTATATATAATGTACTTTGTGGAGAACACTCTCGTTTTGTTTTATGGCTTAAAAAGAGACTTCAATGCAAATTTCACATTTTAAAAATAAATCTTTGTCAACCTTTTGCGAACTCAAGAAATTTCCTAAAGTCAGAATGAAAATCATACGTAACTGGTATGTAACTTGGATCATCCCACCATTGGTATAAGGCACCATTGGTACAATTAGCAGGAGAGCAAGATCCCTGTGACAGACTAATTACCGATCACCCCAGATCTCTGTCTTATACCTAACGTAACAAAACCTATAGCACCACTTTTTCCAGACAATGACTGTTAGCGGCTCTCAAAAAGGACACGACGTTGCTTGTTTTGGACTTTATCAGAGTTAACAATATCATGGACTTGATCTATCTCTGCTGGAATTTCGGAGATTTGAAACAGCCAGACTGTTCTTTGATTTCGAAGAGAAGTATGTAAACCTACTGCGTGTTTTTTCTTATGATGTTCGTTCTAAAAAGGGCAGGTGCAATGTGAGTAAACTGGAATGAATAGTAAATATTTCAATTTTACAGGATGTATACAGGGATGACATGTTATTGTGATCTAAAATAAACAAACTTTTAAAGGCTTATATATATATATATATATATACACTGAAGTGACAAAAGTCATGGGATATCAATATGTAAATTTTCATGATGAATATACGTGCATCTCATTTTATGGAATCGTTTGAAGGTATAAAGTTTAATTTGCAGCAGCTTTCATTTCTGTTCAAGTTATTCCTGGTGAAGAGGTTTTGACGTGATGATGACCGCACGACGGGAATTAACCTATAAAGTGGATAACCTATTTTCCATGAATACGGAATGTTAGTTGGAGCTAGACAATGGGTCATGCCATTTGAAATCGTTAGAAGTTGAATTCAACATTCCCAGATCCACTGTGTCACGTGTGTGCTTAAGAATATGAAATTTCAGGCATAACATCCCACCATGGACATCGGCAGTCGACCGCCTGCAGTTAAGTGACCGAGACCGGCGACATCTGCAAAGAGTCGTAAATTCTAACAGACAAGCAACACTGCGTCAAATAAAGCAGAAATTATATGTGGGACGTACAAGGGACTTGTCTGTTAGAACTGTGCGGAGAAATTTGGCTTTCTTGGGCTATTCCAGCAGAAAACCGACTCGAGTGCCTTTACTGACAGAACGACATCCAACGGCCGTAAAAATGCTGAATATACCGGTTCTCGTTAGATCACCGAAGTCAAGCATCATTACGCGGTCAGTACATTGGGTGGGTGACCACCTGGGAACACCGCGTGCCGTTGACAAATTTAAAACATTGAATGGCCGAAAGTTCATTAGCGCTCTGACACTCATGTGCCACAGGTTTGGGTTCGAATTCTAGCCATGGATTTTGTAGTGGTTCGAATCACTTTAAGCCGTAGGTCCCGGTCTCCTATGACTATAATGAGCGTCACGGAGAAAAGTCAGGCTTTTACCTACGGGTGCTCCATCACAACAGAAGCTGCTTCCTTCCCTTCAATCATAAACGTATGGCTCGTTTGGCGAACTCAGCCAAATGGGATAAGAAACAACAACAACAAACACGACATCGGTATGCGACTTGGGCACGTGAGCATATCGGTTGGTCCATTAGATGAATGGAAAACCGTGGCCTGGTCCACTGAGTCACGACAATTCAGTTGGTAAGCAAGCTGATGGTAGGGTTTTGAAACAGCCAGACCCCACGAAGCCATGGACCCAAACCTGTCAGCAAGGCACTGTTCTTAGCTGGTGGTGGCTCCGTAATGGTGTGGGCTGTTTTTCATGGCATGGACTTGGTCCTCTGGTGCGACTGGACCGAACATTGTAAATATTGTTCAGCTGCTTGAGATTTTTGCAGCCATGTATACCCAAACAACGATGGGATTTTTATGGATGACAATGCGCCATGTCACCGGGCCACAACTGTTCGCGATTGGTTTGAAAACATTCTGGACAATTCCAACAAATAATCTGGCCACCTAGATCACCCGACATGGGAATCCCATCGAGCATTTTTATGGGATATCATCGAGAGGTCTGTATCGTGCCCAAAATCCTGCACCATCAACGCTTTCAGTTATTATGGACTTTATCGAGACAGCATGGCTCAATATTCCTGCAGAAGACTTCCAACGACTTGTTGAGTCTATGCCACGTCGAGTTGCTGCATTTCTCGAAAGAAGGGCCGACACGATATTAAGAGGTATCCCATGACTTTTGTCACTTCAGTGTATATATACACACTCAAGAGCCAAAACATTATGACCACCCCTAAATTTTGCAATGAACTCGCCTGGATGATGAGGTGGAAGTGGTATTTAACTGGTATCAAGTGGTGGTATGAATCCATGCCAAGGCAAGTTGAAGCTGTGTTGCGCGCCAAAGGAGAGCCAACTCGTTATTGACAGGTGGTCATAATGTTTTGGCTCTTGAGTGTATATATATATGTATACACATATACACACACACACACATATATATATATATATATATATATGTGTGAGCCTATAAGGTTGTTTATTTTAGATCACAATAACACGTGATTTATTAAGTTGGTAAGAGGATAACTTGATAATACGTGATTTAAGTGTACACGCAGTAGGTTTGGTAGTAGGTACTTTATACAGGATGTACTCCCTGATGTACATTCTGTATAAAGTTGCATCTAATGATGATGGTGATGAGCAGGCATCTCCCGACCATATTCTTGACTGTTTAGTCAACAATATCATGGACTTAATCTAGCTCTGCTGGAAATTTGGAGATTTTCCACAACAACAACACATTTTTTTGTCTAAGCCAGACTCAGACAAGTCAGTTTGTAGTCCGCTACAGGAACTGAGCGTAATATACTTGTCTGAGTGTGATGTACAGAATTTTTATCTAAAAGAGAAGTTATCGGCATTATTTTTCGTAACAAAAAAATAAAGAAATAAAATTAAGTATATGAGCTAATACTACTAATGATGTTTTCTGTCCTTTAAAATGGTAGATTCCTCCTGCAAAATATATGTAAAATTAAAGGACTATTTAAAAAATGGTAAAAGTTTAAAATGTACAAGGAAAAATAAAACTAAACTTGCAGAAAACTTAAAAAAAAAAAAGAAGAGTGGAAAATGACTGTACAATATCTGCTGGATATTTCTCATGCCCTAATAAACTTAATATGATCAAAATCCAACATGAAAAAGATTGTTTAACTTTCTTACAGACAAAAAGGAACAACCTTGTTAAATGGGAAATGTAGTTAAAAAATTTTTTGAAAGCGAAAGAAAAGTCTAATGAAAAAAAAAAGAGCTCGTTTTGAAAAAAATGAGAGAACGTGAAGAAAATGCAAAAGATTGCTATTTGAACGAATATAAATTCATTCAGATGGATATAAAGATAAAAGTGGCTCCCTTGCACGTGATAGATGTTTTTCAAATGAAGAGGAAAGTTCAAATTATGATCCGCCCACAGAAAAAAATATATATATGTTCTATGCAATAATATTGCTGCAAGCGACAAGACGACGTTCATTTAATATGAAGGTATTAATTTAACAAGACATAACATTCATTTAGCGTGACGCTATTAATATAATATGACAATATTTTTTAATATAATTTAACATGATGGCATTCATTTAACATGACAATCTTCTTTAATACAGGACCTGATGGCCGAGTGGCTAACGCCCTGGCGCTCGGTACCACAGGTATCGGGTTCGAAACCCGGCGGTGCCATGGGTGTTTGTAGTGGTTAGGAATCCACTTTAAACTGTAGGTCCCTGTCCTGATAGGATCGTAGAGCGTTGCGGGGGCATTGTGACTTCCGCGTCCGTAGCTTATCTTCAAGTTACACGCACTCCCTGGGTAATGCAAAGTTAGTAACGTCTGTGAAGCGCTTGCCTTGAGGCATCCAAGACCAAGCTGTCGAAGTGTCTGCCAGCTGCATTAGAAAAAAAAAATCTTTTTTAATATAATTTAACATGATCGCATTCATTTAATATAGCCTTCATTTAAGGCGACATTCATTTAATATGGCGCCATTCATTCGCAATGCATTATTTATAGTTTTCAACCGAACTTCTTCAATTTTATAACCGGACGCTCTACCAAATCTCTCCAGGCCCTTAATCGTAAGAAGATGACTGAATTTAAAGTATAAACGACGGCTTTCAGCATAATAAACATAATCTGATTCCACGTGTTTGTTGAGTGAAACGTATAAATCGGAGTCGATAAAATTCTAAGTGTTACAATGTCTTAAAACTCACTTACACCACGCCATAACGATCATTGGCACTTGATTTATGACGACTTCACAGTCATAAGTCAAAAGCATGTTGAAAAGGTGGATTTTTTTTATGGGCCATCATTTTATTCTTCTGTTTTACTGCCAGGGTCCAGGACTTTACTGAAGGTAGGGTGTTGAGAATGTTCATAGAGAGAGAGAGGGAGAGAGGACATTTCGAGAGAGGAGGTCATTTCGGGATCAGGGTCGGGAGTGTATCTGTTTCTATCATCTTTGACCTGATGGGTCCTGTACCAGCTTAACAAGGCTGGCGAATTTTCGAGCATAAGACATGAGAAGGAATTTCTGTCCAATAGAAATTTAGACTTCAAATAAAACTTACGAAACAACACATTGAAAGACTTCTAAGATATATGTTAAACATATTGAATCACTTAAGGTGCAATGTTACTGAAACAATATTATTGTTGTAAATACGTTGTTTTTGTAGGGATCGATTTGTAATGATGGCTTGGCACAAAGTGCTAGCTTACAAAAATTTTTATAAATATTTTGACATAGTTTTTGAAAGACAATAAAAAAATTACTATTTTGTTCTTTATTATTAAAAAATTAACATTTATGGTTAATGTTAAAAAAAAATTTCAATCTCTTTCTGTATACAGAAGACGTAATTTTTTTCTTCGTTATTCCTTAAATTTTAGTTCAATCCCTCTTCTCTTTAAATTCACTTACATACGTCTTCCCCATGCTATTTTTTTTTTTTTTTTTTTTTTTTTTTGTTAAAATATCTTTAACGATATCTAAAGATATTTTATCCTTCTGTTAAGTTTTCTTCTGTAATGAATATATTTAATCTATGATGTCTATTCTCATTAATATCTACTCTATAATGAATATTGTAGTGTTATCAGTTTGAGCGGGCCCCACGTTGGCCTCCATATTGTAGTGGGCAGGTTGTGGTGCTCTATATTAATTGGGTGTGGTTGGGTTGAGATTTGAGACACAGATTTGAGAATTCACAGCTTTATTTACACACGCTCAAACCCCAAACACTTTCAATTAACTATAGACAATATTTAACGTATAATTATAGATTTTTGGAAGGATTCCACTTCTAAGCAGAAAACCCAATACTCAGGTACATGCGGGATGCGAGAAATATAATTCTTCTCCGGGGGAGAGTTTGTAGGCCAACTTATAAGCAGGATTGCGTTAAATATATTTTCTCTGGGACGGGAAACTATAAACTAAACGTTTCTCAACAGAAGCGTGTGGTTGCGCTGTACCTCCTCTCGTTTGAATGAGTTTCGCCTTATTAAATTATTAAATGAATATCGTTAAATTAAATGAAAGTCGTCTTATTAAATAAATGTCATGTTAAATTAATGACGTCCTAATAAATAAATGTCATGCTAAATGACTATCGTCTTATTAAATGAATGTTGTTAAATTAAATAAATGTCGTCTTATTAAATAAATGTCATGAAAAATGAATACCGTTATGTAAAACGAATATCAAATTAATATTGCCATTTTAAATGAATATTGTCCCAGAGGTATGTCAAATTAATAGATCTTTAAAGGCTGCCTTTTTTAGAATCATCTATCTATTAAACGAAAACAGTTAAACAAATTTTATAAAAAGAATTGAGGAGTATCAGTTACAAATTTTACAAATTTTGTGGTAAATGTCGAAATTTGTCTAATTCCTATCTTATTTTGATATCCGTCTCATGTTCATATCCATCGCCTTCCGTTGCAAAACCTGTTGACAAATCGTCGTGCATCCAAACAGGGCGAGTGACGCAATGGACACTCCGCTCTCCTATCAAACATTTGCACTGGGAGGAGATTTACACGCCTAAAGCAACGTTTCGCTGATCGCCCCCTCACTTGAACCGCAGTCAACAAGGCGATTGAGAAACTCGCAAAATTCAGTTTCAGCAACATGCTTTGAAATGAGTTCTTCAATTTCTTTCTGTATAAGTGTGCAAAAAATCAATCTTTCGAGATTTATTCTTGGATCTGGAAGATCCTAAC